GTTGCCGTGCTGGTCAGTCGTGTATAGCTGCCTCGCCCCGACTAGCAACGATCCAGGTTCATGTTACTGTTCGGCTCTGGATCTCGAAACTGTGGACAGTCTTCGTCGCTGTCCGCGCCGCAATCGAAGTCCGGTCTGTTTTGGTCGTGGGCTTGCGGTGCTTGGTGGGCAGTCTTGGTCAAGCTGTCCGCAGCCATAAGGCTCCGACACGGGTCTGTTACTGTAGGTGGTCTGCGTGTGCCTGATGCCGAGTCCTTGCTGTTCCGCCCGTCCCGACGCCCCCCGCACTGCCAGCTCCTCCCTGTCGTACCTGTCGTGCGTCTCGTTGCATCGTGGAGCTTCGTGCCTGTACCAGCGCCCAGCTAGCACCGCACATAAGCCTCCGCCCGTCTCCGCCGGTTCCTGTCTTGGCCTATGCTGGGTGTGCATGCTGGCCACGTCTCTGCCTCAAGGCTGTCCGCGCCCACGCTCAAACGTCCCACACCAGCGTCATCGTTACGTCAAGTGGTCTGGTTGCCCATGTGGGCAGTCTTGTAACGCCTGTCACCCGCAGCCCGCTCGCATGTCCGGGTGATCGTTTAACACTGGGGTGTGGCTCCAGCTGAGCATTCCTGTGGCCCGTCTTTGCTCGCATGTACCCGCGGCCCCCGCTAGAGTCCGCGGGTACTGTTCCTGTCGCCGGTCTGGTTTTGCTGGAACGATCTGTAGCTTGCTCCCGCCACACGACTAGAAGCAACAACGGTTAATGTTTCCCGTACGTGTAATGAGTTGACTGCTGGAAGTCTTGTAAGCCGTCCAGAGGCCAAAAGATACGAGTTAAACCTGTACCGAGATTCTGTAGTGAGGTATAGCTATGCAATGTGGCATGTTCTCTGCTCGGTGTACAGAGCCGACAGAAAACTCGAAAGAAACAGCTCCCCGGTAAGTTCTGTAGGTCAGGTCCTGGTTGAAAGTGTGGGAAGTGTGTAGCCTGTACCAGGCCAGAAATAAGAGTCAACGGCTCATGTTACTGTAGGTGGTATGGTGGAATGCCATGCCGCAGTCTTCCGTAGCTGTAAGCAGAGAGCCAAAGATAAGGCGTCAGACGGGTAAGTTAAAAGTAGTATGGCATAGCTCTGACGTGTGGAGCTGTTTGTAGCTGTGACGCAAGAGCACACACACTCACATGGGTAAGTTAAGCTGCTAGTGGTTGGTGTTGTGATGCTGGCACCCACGCCTCTTTGCTACGCCATGTCGCAGCAGAGCCAAGATAGGTTCTAGCAGGTTAGTCTGCGTAAGAGGGTAATAGTTGAATGTGTAAGTCTTGGTAACTGTGCACGAGCGAAGCTAGATCGTACACATACGGTTATCGGTAGTGTATAGTATTGAATGTGGAAGTCTTGTACTGTATACAGAGCACAGGAAGAGTAGCAGTATGGTGTAAGTGGTCTTAAGGAGGTATAAGTTAAGTTCTTAGTACCGCGTGTTTTGGGAGTATTCATAAGTATTACTAATATGTGGCTTGGGGTCAACAAAGTATTAGTGTTTGAGGTATCGTTAAAAGTTATCTCATATAATAGTAGTGTTTGGGGAGTATCTTCTTAGATGAAGCTCTACAGGCCCAGATATGTCTAACGGGTTAAGTTGTGGAAGGTGGTGGGTGGCATGAACATGTAGGACATAACTAATATTAGTTTAAGTGTTTAAGTATGTTACATGTACCTTGGCATAGAATCGACTTAGAAACGTTAACTAATTATTTATTCTTGACTGAGATAAGTCTATTATTGTAATATCACTGAACATAGACTTTGCGGCTTTGACGTAGGCGATTAAGACAAGCATCTTCAAGTCCGGACAGTTATGATTACTAGCATAGAACGGTACTAGAGTACAAGTCTTGGCATGGTGTCTTGAGGAAGCATCAAGTCCCGTTTTTTTATGCCTTTGGCAAGTATCTTTCCGCACTGTGTGGAGGAGCAATCCTCGGGATACTGCAATTGAGAGTGTTTCCGCCAACTTTAATGTCATTCATCGGATCCAATACACATTATAATATATAATATAGTTGATGAGTACGTCATGGTCCATATATTAGTTTGTGGCTTTAATATCATATTAGGTTAGGATTTAAGGGTTAGGATTTATTAATCAATCATTAACTTATTATCATATAGATCAATCTGGGTAACAAAGTTGGGAACGACACTCTAATGGAAGCGTTAGCCAGGAATCCCTGCAACCCGGCCCCCTCGTCCCCACTCGTGTTACGCGCCCTGCGACGGCGACATAAGACGAAATCGTCTGACGCCGGGTGTGGCGAGGCAGGAGGGGCTCGCCGTCGACTGGATAGGAAAGACATCTACTGGGATGGAGAGCCTAGCCCCAGTCACGGAACAGAACTAGAGGGTGCGCGCGCAATAGTCGACCGCCCTGTACCGGACGAGGGCGCTGGATAGGCCGGAAGGGGATGAACCAGGGCCCCAATGCGACGACCAGACTTGCCAGGTCCGCACACAGCACGGACACAGGGTGAGCCGCGAAATATATTATGATAGTATATACTAGAAATATAATATATATTATTATTACTTATTATTGATTATATTTTATTCATTTGTTTATTATTATATGCGGCCTTTACTATAACATAAAATGTCAAACCGGCGCTCTGACACTATCAATATCCCATAAAACCGAAGCTACACTAGAATGAGCCGAATAAATCACCAAATGTGCTACATGTGGAGATATATCCATTGACTATGGCATCATCCTAACTATGAGGTAAATGACATTAAAACAAAGTTGGCTTTATGTATACCAAAACATATACTGGAAATTCATATTCATCCCTAAAAATCTATAATAAAGAAATTAAAATCATTTGTATCTACTAATAATTGTTGATGGTGTGTCCGTAGGTATGGATAGTAACATATGATACAGTCTGACTTACATATAATAACCTATATACCGCTATCTAGGGCCTAGACTTAGGATTTTTCCCCAGCTGTAGCAGACAATGCACAGAATAATTGTCACTCTAAACCAATATTGGATTTCCTATTAGACACATCTGTAGATACCATCTCTTACTGACACCAAAACGCGCATCAAATACATCTTTTCTCTTTCTCTTTCCCATTGTTCTTCACAAACTATATTATAATTGCATTCGAAGGGAACAAACTACCATTATTTAATGCAAAGCACACACGGACTATATTCCGATCACACGCTGTCCTCATGACTGAGACACACATTAACACTGACATGAATTCCCCACCCACGATGGATGTGCTGACTGAGCAGAGACATTCAAGTTTGTCTGAATTTTTTACTCTTTACTGTGTTTTGCTCGGAGTAAATTCATCCATCAACTATTCGGTTTTTTTGGACACCACTGGACAGTAAGCACTTATTCAACTCAACATCTCTCCTTCTGGAGCCTCTTCAATTCTTGGACTGGTTAAATGTCCACCGCAAAACACTTCTGCGTTGATTTACGAGGTTATGTTCTCAGAGCCTGTTAATAACCAAATTATGTCTGCATAAAACCCCTCTCGCCCACGGAATCACTGGTTTGTGGAGTGAGCCACAGACATCTAATTTTTACCAGTACCTGAACGCACAATACCGACTGAGCACGCAGCACGTACGCACGTACGTACGCAGCACGGTGCAGTACAGATAGAAATTACTATAAAGATGGGCACACACACTATAGTTATTTACAGTAAGGTAACTGAAATAGTATTACACAGAAATTATTTCACAGCAATGACATATACTCTACCGTGAAGAGGTTGGAGTAGAGAATATCGGGATGCATAAGTGAGAGAGGAGGGGAAGGAGGATACCGAAAAATAGCACATTGGTATAATCAGAGCAATAAATATAGAGCACCGGAGAAAACGTGAGAGGCGTGCGTCAGGTAGGAAATAGATAAATCAGTGAAGTGTGAGACAGTAAGTTGAAGGAGTACAGTCGAGAAGGAAGTGGTGCCACGACGGAGCAGTACAGGGAGGGGGGACAGCACGAGGAAAGACAGAAGGAAGAGAGAAGGGGGGAGGCGGGAGAGCAAAGAAGGGCAACTTTTGGCAAAAAACGAGGAGAGGGGGAGCAAAAAGCAAAGCCAAGCGCGGGAGCGCCGAAACAGCGACTTACACGGAAGACTATGGAAAAACAACGATCGGGCAAACACCACACCACTGCGCGCGCGCGTCAAATTAAAACTAATTATTGAACTTTGCCAGACGCCGATTGCACAGTGCAGTGGCCGCTGTGTGGAGACAGGCCATTTCTCTAACCACACCAAAAGGTTATCTTTGAAAGGAAATATTAGACAGCGGGCGTAAGTTCCCCCAGTTTGGGCGGAAAACGCCAGGACAAAGCTGAAGCGGATATCAAAGAGGGGCACGTGCAAGGGGTGAGGGGATGACGATGAGGAATGGTGCACCATAGTGCAGGGCACCAGACGCGGCGGGAGCTAAGAAGGTAGGCCAAGGGGTTCAGGTGAGGAGTCTCCGACCGAGGGAAAAAGAATGGGGTGGGAAAAAGCCTTGGGTGGGAATGTGCTATTAGGAACTGCATAGGTTGTGCAGAGGGAGGGAAGGGAAGAGAAGGGGAAAAGCCGGGAAAACTTTTAACACCTTATATTGAGCATCCTTAGAGATTGAGAGCAAGACCGTGACTATCTCCGCTGCGCATTTTCGGAGACTCACGCATACGGCCCCAATTCTCGTGCGCTCCCCCCCCCCCCGCATGCTACCTCTCAACGCATTCAACACAAGCAGGCCAAGAAGAAAAAAAAGAAGAAACAAAGCAGCCGCGCGACCGCCCGAACAACGAGGGCGGCGGCGACAAGAACGACAGCGCGAAACAAAAGCCCCCTGTAAGTACAACCGCGCCACGAGCGGCCGTGGCTAACGATGCACGGGGAGGCGTTGCTAACACGTGCCTATGCGCTAAGGCTGGGGCGCATGTGATTGGGAAGTACGGGGCGGGGGGCGGCGAATGCACTGATTGTTACAGTCCGGCTGTGGGCGTTGGTTATTGCTGTATATGTAAGGGGGTGGGCAGCGGCATGGATATGAAGGAGAGCGACACAGCAAAACTTCACCGGAATCCGAGAAAAAGCTAGCATATACTGGGAATAACACATGGAGTGATGCCGGCAACCCACACAAAGAAAGGCGTGTGTCTGGTTATCGACCGATCAATGGATGGAGTGCTTGTGCTGGGTCTTGTCTTATTACGGGAAAATTACGATTCGTCACTAGTTTTCTCAAGCACAAAGTAAAGAGCTTTCAAATCATGCCAAGATCAATTCTGTTCGCGCCTTACACACGCGAATTTGGCGAGTGAAGAGTAGCGAGAGGAGCCCTTGCATAATAAAGTGAACAATATAATAACAGTATATAACATACCATAATTTATACAGTAACATTAGGTGATGATCCATGAAGGTATATTCACATGTGTAAGGGCATAATAAGCACATGAGCATATTTGTTTGGATGTAATGATGTGAATATAATAATGCGAATCTCATATACTAAAAGGTAAGTAGCGATGTATGTGCTGTACGTACTATACATAATACAATAACAGGGGTGAAATTATAACACAACAAGGCTAAAGCTGTGCACGCATAAGCCGCCCATGTATGTTAACTAATGGCGTGTATCCTTGGAGTGTTTACCACCAAACTTTAATAGAGATCAATTAATGGTCATAATAACATATATACATAATTTGGTGATAAATAATTAGTTTGTGGTTTTAAATGTCATCCTGTAGGTATAGGGTTCTTCACGGTGTATAGGGTTAGGACTTATAACATCATATCATATCAAATACATTAATCGTATTACTCAAATGATATCAAAGTTGGGAAAAACATCGCTAAAATGGGGAGTATAGACTTTACAATTCCAGAAGCATAACTCGTCAGATGCGTACCTGTAAAATGGCTTCCGAATTAACGTTGATTCACGCACGGAAAAGCAAAGAGCACGCGCGAATACACAGCACTGTTTTCAATAAACGTGTCTGTGTCATCCTGTAGTCACCGAGGAAGTTAAACTTCTGAGTAGGACTAGATTGAGGACAAGCACCAGAAACCTCAGCTCGACTCGAGTCTACGTACATGAACAGCTCATTCACGAGAAGTACCGATAGTCTTTATATATTGTGATCTGTGTGTATATTATCTATTAAGCAAGAAGTTATTCTGGACGGACTTGGGAACAGCAACCTGCCTCGCATTGAGTCTATACATACACTCATTCACACGTATCTATAATATGTATAAAAAGTCTGAGTATATTGTGTGTATTTTATTCAGGAAGTTATTCTGGACGGACTGGGACAGCAACCTGCCTCGCATTGAGTCGTGTTCGATGAGTAAGGTGAGAGGTAACGGCGCCGTCGTACAATGACTCAGAACTACAGAGCATCGCTCGAACGCGGGTGACCCAGCGGCTGGCCCAACGTCTCACCCTAGACTACATAGCCAAACCGCCCTCTACTGGGATAGACGCAAGGTAATCAGTGAACGCTCTCGTTACGCGTCGTGAATTTAAAATTTAACTATATAATACCGATGAGTTTGATTTTAAACAAATATTAAGAAAAATTAAGTCGCTGAACGCGGGCGCCGGCTGGCCCAACGGTCTCACCCTAGACTACATAGCCAATCCGCCTCTACTGGAATAAGAACCGCAAGTTCTAACGCACCACCAAAAACAACAAAAACAGACCAACCACCCACAACAAAAAAAAGAAAAAAGCAAGCTTCATGATCACTCAGGCTGAATTGAACTTTGGGTAGATGGTAGTGGAAACTTCATAAGGTGGCTGAGATCTGATGTGGTTAAGTTTCGCTAGGTCAAGACTTCTTTCTCATCAGGTCTGACTCTATAAATAAACATATAAATATAATAAAAAAGTGTTTTTTCTATCATCGGCGCGGGGGTCAGCAGGTACAAGACACTTCTTCCATGGTTCGCACAGTCCTTGAAAAGTCTTGAATTTTGAGGGCGAGGACTTCGAAAGTTTAGTATGATTGAATTTTGGCTTAAAAGTGCTTTGAATTTATGCAAAAAGTTTTCGAATTAATCAGAAATGTCCTTGATTTCATGAAAAATGTCCCCTTTGATTTTATGAAAATGTCCTTCGAATTTTTTGAAAGAATCTGCCTTGTAATCAAAGAAATTTTGTCACTCAATAATGTGCAAAACCTCAATAATATATGCGTTTAAATGAACCTTAAACAAGCTAAGCCACATGAGACCATGTTAAATGATCGATCACAATTACAGTAAGTATAAAGAATCAAGTCACAGTAAAATAAGGTTATGTTGTAGAAGTGAAGTGTTCTGGAAGGTTAATGAATGCTGATCCATAGCTTAAGATTTTAGAGGTGGACCATGCAGGCATTAAGAATGGGGATATCATAATTAATTCCGGTTATGACTTTTGTCTCTCTGATGCATTCCGATAAAATGTTGACTAAACTGTCCTGAACCTTTCATTGAATTTCCGATAAAATGTCCTTGAAAAGTCCTTGAAAAGTCCTTGGATAAAATTTCAGTCCTCCTGTATGAACCATGTTTTCTCGTATCAGATCTGACTCGATCCACACGTCTCTGTACGACGGCAGCGACCACCGCATCGTGCTACGCGACCACGAATACCTCGCTCACCCGTTCGCCATCACGCTGTTCGAGAGCAAGGTCTACTGGACGGACTGGCGAGTCAACCTGCTCATTAGCGTGAGTGTCGATACGCGCGATCAGTAGCGCCACCTGCTGGGCTAGGTCGGCAGCTGATTGACACTACTGTCGAACAGCATTTAATATATTTAATTTATTTATTTTATTTTATTATGTTATACTGGACGGACTGGCGCGTGAACCTGCTTATAAGCGTGAGTGTAGATCGTTGCGCGATCGTCTGGGCTCTGTAGCGCCCTCTGTTGGGATAGTTCAGCGAGTGGGATCCTGGCTGTTGGTAGCTGTGACAGTAGATTGTTAACTAATTGTTGAAACAGGATAATGGATGATGATTGTTCTATCCAGGAACAATACAGAACGTTTATGAGGTTAATGCTTTATAGTGCATAAACACTATACCACAAGTCCCATATACTGTCTACACTTCAACTAATGAAATGTGGGCGCTAATGGCTTATTCGCAGGATCCTTTTATGCTGTGTGATGGTATTTTAATCTCAAAAATCCTTATATTATTTTATTGTATTATATTGTAAATGATATACTTCATTCTCGCTTTGTAGGCGAACAAGTTTGTAGGCTTACTCACAAGATCCTTTTCTGCCATGTAACATGATTACATAGTAAAAATCCTGTTATTATGATAATACTTTTTATTTATTTCATTTTACTTAAAAAATTCTTTCATGCTCTTTTTTGCAGGCGGACAAGTGGCATGGTCGCAACGTCAGCGAGGTTACGCATACGATAACGCAGCCGTTCGATATACACATCTATCACCCATCCCGACAACCATATGGTAAATAGTTGTGTGCTATCAATACGTGTAATGTGTAGTAAGTAATACATGGTACTCCAGTAGGAAGGCCCAGTAGGGTCATACAAAAATTCCAAATTCGATGCAGTGCGAATTTAAAGTAGTTTTCTGACCAGTCAGATTTGTGTTCTTTTTTACTCATTAGCTGACCAATTAGAATACGGATTTTATTCGCCAGTTGTGCTCAAATTTCGAATGAGCCCTTGCAGTCGAGAAACTGCTGTGTGCAGTTCAGAATTACAATCTAATTCTTCGTAATTTGTGTGAGTGTTAGACCCGTGGAGTATTCGTAGACAGGGATTCTATCTCATCCTTCTATCTAACTGAGAGTTACTGCGTGCCGTAACAATCCCCCGCACATATGACCCCTGTGAGAAAACTCCTCTGGGCAGAATTACTATGAAAATCTTTATAATTTGTGATGATTGGACCCGTGGAGTATCCGTAAGCCATGATTCTAACGCAAGGATCTTTTCAGTTAGAGATAGCAAAAAAGATTCGTCACATTCAGGTCGTGTCACCGTATATTAATGTTGCAGACTCTTTTGCAACTCGATTGCCCGTGGGGCTGTGGAAATGTGATGTCGACACCATACGATACCACCACCACTACTACTACTACTAGCTAGAGAGTTCACGCGCGCCGTGGCAATCCCCACGCGTAACCCCCATCCGCGTAACTTTCTCGTTGCAGCGAAGAATCCGTGTGCGGTGGACAACGGCGGCTGCTCACAGCTCTGCCTCATCAGCTTCAACAAGACGTCGGGCTGCCGCTGCGCTTACCTCTTCACGATGACTGAGGACGGCAAGGCCTGCAAGCGTAAGCACCGCTACGATATGTATTATATATATTGTTATATATTATTACCTGTACACGATGACCGACGATGGCAGGGCCTGCAAGCGTAAGCACCGTTACGATATGTATTATGTATATTGTTATATATTATTACCTGTACATGATGACCGACGATGGCAGAGCCTGCAAGCGTAAGCACCGCTACGATATGTATTATATATATTGTTATATATTATTACCAGTACATGATGACCGACGATGGCAGGACATGCAAGCGTAAGCACCGGCGTAGCATTGCAGCATGGGTTTGACGCTTGTAGTTGTTAGAAGAAGTTATTAGAGTTTTATTCGAAGGAGAATAATTAGTAGTAGAAACTTATATCATAAGTAAGCATGGCTACGATGGCTATATGTGTGACTACCACTACAGAGGTACGCGATCCTTTATCTTCTTCTTCTTCCTCCTCCTCGTCCTCGTCCTCTTCCTCTTCCTCTTCTTCCTCTGGTTTTTCTTCTTCTGATTTTTCTGCTTCTTCTTCTGATTTTTCTTCTTATTATTATTGTGATTTTTATTATCATTATTATTATTATTATTATTATTATTATTATTATTATTATCACCACATGTATTTATGATAAATATTATAGTATATGTAATATATTACATAGTACATTACACTTCATCTATCTGTCTACCTTGCAGCTTTGAAGGAGTTTCTGCTGTACAGTCAGCAGAAGGAGATCCTGGGCATCAGTCTACGTCCACCCTACTACACGGTGATGCCCTCTATAACGGCCGTCGACAACGTGTCGTCGGTAGACTATGACACGCGCGATGAGCAGCTCTACTGGACCGACGTCACGTCGAGCAAGATCAGTCGCATCCACACGAACGGCACCGAGCAGCATGTGCTCGTGGATACGGGTACGTCTGCGTCGCGGTTGCCGCGGTAACAGTAGGTAGTGTGCGGGGGAATGTGTGTATGTCGTGGTCGCACGGGTACGTGGGTCGTGGTTGCCGTGGTAACGGCTGGTAGTTTGGCAAGATCAGCCGCATCCACATGAATGGCACCGAGCAGCAGGTGCTCGTGGATACGGGTACGTCTGCGTCGTTAGTTGCCGCGGTAACTGTTGGTAGTAGGTGTAGATACAGGTACATGTGTTGTTGGTTGCTGCGGTAACTGCTGGTAGTTTAGCAAGATCAGCCGCATCCACATGAACGGCATCGGGCAGCAGGTGCTCGTGGATACGGGTACGTCTGCGTCGTTAGTTGCCGTGGTAACTGCTGGTAGTAGGTGTAGATCTATACCTATAGTATCTATACGGGTACATGGATGTGCCATGGAGCGGCTGCTGGTAGTGTGTGTGGGGGAATGTGTGTGTCTGGTGGGAGAGTAGCAGGTGCTAGTTGATACTGGTATGTGTGTTTGCTGGAGCAGCTCCTGGTAGTGTGTGGGGGAATGTGTGTGTGTGCGTGTGTGCGTGCGTGCGTGCGTGCGTGCGTTCGTGCGTGCGTGTGTGAGTGCGTGCGTGTGTGCGTGCGTGCGTGCGTGCGTGCGTTCGTGCGTGCATGTGTGAGTGCGTGCGTATGTGTGTTTGTGCAGATTTCTGTATGTGCGTGTGTGCTTTCATCTTCCCATCTGTCCTTTCCAGGCATCCCGAACCCATTCGCGTTTGCCATCGACTGGATATCCCGCAACATGTTTTTCGGTTCCTATGACAACCGGAAGCAGCGGATCAGCGTCAGCACGCTGGACGGAGAGTATCGGATGGTGATCGTCAAGAGCAACCTCAGCCAGCCGAACTCACTTGCTGTGCATCCCATAGAAGGGTAGGTTGGCGATCCACAATGTATATTGTACACAATCGTTGATATAATATCATATACATTACATGTGCTATACTATATTTTTACTGAACTTGTAATCAGTATCGTCGTCAGCGATCTCATCGCTGTTGTTGTTGTTGCTGTTGTTGTTGTTGCTGTTGTTGTTGTTGCTGTAGTTGTTGTTGTTGTTGTTGTTGTTGTTGTTGTTGTTGTTGCTGTTGCTGTTGCTGTTGCTGTTGCTGTTGCTGCTGCTGCTGCTGTTGCTGCTGCTGCTGTTGTTGTTATCGTTTGGTATCTCATCGTTATTGTCATTGTTGTTGTTGTTGTTGTTGTTGTTGTTGTTGTTGTTGTTGTTGTTGTTGTTATAGTTTGGTATCTCGTTGTTGTTGTTGTTGTTGTTGTTGTTGTTGTTGTTATAGTTGGCATCTCGTTGTTATTGTTGCTGCTGTTGTTGTTATAGTTTGACATCTCATCGTCATCGTTGTTGTTGTTGTTGTTATAGTTTGACATCTCATCATTGTTGTTGCTGTAGTTTGGTATCTCATTGTCATTGTTGTTGTTGTTGTTGTTGTTGTTGTTGTTGTTGTTGCTGTTATTGTTGTCATTGTTATAGTTTAACATCTCATCATCATCGTTGTTGTTGTTGTTGTTGTTGTTATAGTTTGGCATCTCATCATTGTTGTTGTTGTTGTTGTTTGCTTGCAGGAAGCTGTATTGGACAGACATCGGCGATCCCTCGCCACGTGTGGAGATGGCCAGCATGGACGGAACCAACCGACAAGTCATTGTCACCCAAGAGCAGAACGGTCACCTCCAGTATCCCACGAGTACGTTGTTCTCTCTGTTGTTCTCTTGTTGTTCCCTCGTTGTTCTCCATTGTTCTTGCTATTGTTCATAGTGAGCGAAAAGGGGGAATCTGTGTATTATTATTATTATTATTATTAAATCTTTATTGCAAGCGTGTAATTCAAATACAAGTACATGTACTGAAGACAGTCTGTTTCATGAAGAAAAAATCTGATAAATGCAATAGGCAATAGTGTTGAGCAGTTAAAATGATAAAATGACCGCTTATACGGCATAAGTTTTTTTTTTGTCGCAAAGCTGACTTGCTGTGTACGTTATTTCATTTATTATTTATTATTATATTATTTACATATTATTTATTTCATTAACATTGTTCACTAATGCGGTTGTTCTCTCTCTCT